TCGATTACATACTAAAGAAATTGGAGCATGGAGTACAGCTAAGCTCACAACAGAGTGCAATGTTGGAAGAACAACAGGATATTATTTATCTTATAGATCTGCAAATAGTTTTGGTTATCACTGCTGTGTGGAGGAGCCTTGATGTCAGAAAGAGAGACTTAACAAGCACAAACCATGAGTTTGCCTTTTTGGCACCAATAGCGCTCCTTTCTGTCATGTCAGAGATCACAACCATCCTATTAACTGGCCCTCTGATATATAACTACCTACTCACTTTTTAGCTTTCAAAGCCCTTATACACAACTTACCTAACCTGAGCCTTAGTTCTGACTTTGCTTCTGTAAATGCCTGCCTTTCTCAATACATTGTCAAATGCTTTAATCTTCAGAACACTCCTGACCTGACCTGATCTTTGCCTCCTCCTCTCCTTTCCTCTTCTGTATTTTCTTTGCTTTTCCCCATCTTCTGACTTTCCTCTTTCTTGCTTCCTTTTCTCTCCTTATTAGGACCAGTTAGCTTACTGTAGTTCTTCTATGCCCCCTTGGGGACAGGTAATAAGTGTTAAAATACTTTTAATCTCCACTTAATGAGGTTTGATATGGATAGACATATGAGTGAGTAGTTATGATGATACAATATTATGAAGATCCTTAACACCTCCCCAAATGAAATTTAGAGACTATGTCAGATGAGAAAACTGTGAGGTGAATGTAAGAAGGCATGTGAGTCACAGGGTAAATATGGGTTGGAACTGTGGTGTTCAGAACATGCATGGGCAACTTCTACTTACATTCAGTACACATCTTTTTTTCCTACTTGTTCCTTAAAAGCTCCCATTTCCGTAATATTTCCTTTTCAATTTATGACATCTGGTTCAGTATTGGACTGTAGGAGATAAAATTCCCAGAAACGTTAACAAATACAGGAAATGACTGTCAATTCAGTCACAAAGAGACCTGTCCCAAAGAACATGAGGGCAATTAAAATCACCAAAAAAAAAATGGATGTGGTTCAGGCAAGAAGATAAGCAAAGTTTGGAAGTCATCCAACAGGAAAAGACAAGGAGAGAAGTAAATAGAACATAATGAATGGCGTACCTCATATCTTAAAGAACTTTTGCTGTGATATGGTGTACTAAAGTACTGCACAGAAATTCTAGAGTTTCTGTAACTTGAGAAAGGAAGACCAACACTGTGCCATTGTTTAGCTTCCTGTTAACAAAAGAATATACAGTGATCATCATGAAAGTATTCCAGGTGGAGTCACCCACCATACTTTAAATTATTCCAGGTGGAGGCACCCACCATACTTTAATGTTAAAAGTAATACCCTACCCTGTTAGCTGTTTCAGTTGAACAAAAAGTTATGCTGGCTTGGCAGCTCATAGTAGGACATCTCAGGATTTTCCAAGTCTACTGGCTGCATCTTTGGTTCATTCTAGGCTTGTGGATGGATTTGTTTCTGGTCACCCTGCACTGTTTGGTCTTGAATGCCAAGTCTGTCAGACATTTTTGGTTACTGATAAAATAAAATGGGCATGAGTAAGTCACTAACAGAAAAGACAATCACACAGATCATTGGATTACATGAGGCAGGCCATTAAATGAAGGAAATAGTAGAAGCCACTGATGTGTTCATTGGTTCCTTGATTATGGTGGTGATTTCGTGCCCACACCAAAAGCACGTCCAGGGAAGCCTAGAAATAACATCTCCACTAGTTTTAACTGTAATAACATACCTATAATTGCTTTGTCATCATTTGCCCAGATCTTTCACATACTGTGGTGCAAGGGTTTTTATGCAAGACAGTGCTCCTTCTCACACCACAAAATTTGTTATTCAGTGGCATTGTGATTGAGGTACCCTTCTTTGATGACTGGCCAGGAAACTCCCCAGACTTTAGCCCTATTGAGAACCTCTGAACAGTGATGATAATCTACTAGAGGAAGGATATCAGCCTACTACAAGAGCAGTAAGTCACCATCCATGACTCATGAGGGATTTACTCAATGAAACCCTGAAGAATGTGTTAATCACTTCCTAGATGGTAGAAGGATGTCCTGAATCACAAAGAATGACTTATTTTATGGTCATGGTTTGAGGGGAGGGGGAAATACTTTAATGATGAATACTGTACAAGAAAAGTGGCAGATCAGCAACTGAAGCTCTCTATGATTTTCCCTTAATCCTCTAATATTTCACTGCAAAATAATAAATGAAAAAAATTGAGATGCAACAGGCAAAGATAATATTAGAAAGGGTAATAGTGAACATAGTAAGGATGTGGTAACAAAAGACACATTTAAGGACCTACACATGGAATGCTGGCCATTATTAAAAAATAATAGTAAGGAAATTTAAGAAGAGAACTGCAAAAGAGTACACAGAGGGAGAATTCAATAGAGGGGCCCCAAGTTGAAGAAGGCAGAGTAGGTGCAACACTCTTTGTTTCCATCAAAAATAAGAGCCTTGCAGTAAGCAACTGGGAATTGTTCAAAAGAAGGCTTAATATGTGTTGTGTTGACATTATAAATATCATTTTTTGCAGGGGAAAAAGAAATGGGTAAGTAAGGTAAAAGACAGGTATAATGTCAGTTGCAATAAAACAAGGAAGCTAAAGAAAGGAGAGGTTTTAAAAAGGGGAAGATGAGAGCAAAATGGGTCAAAAAGTAATTTAAGGAAAAAAATTATGGCAGATATAATTAGTCAGAGAAGAAACTAAGAAACACTGCCTCCTTAGCATTACAAACAAGAATTAAAGTCAAATGACAGAGAGAAAAATGGCTTGAAAAACAGTATGTTCTATTGTATGAATAATTCAATTTTTGTTTTATTTTTAATACACTGGTCATCTCCAATCAAGGTAAGGTAAGACAAGACCCAAAAAGAAAAGGCCAACATTTAATATCAATTTTAATTATGTCATCTATTATGGCATTATCATTAATGTCAATATTATTATTATTATTATTTTATTATTATTAACACATCGGCCAATTCCCACCAAGGCAGGGTGGCCCAAAAAAGAAAAATTTTCATCATCATTCACTCCATCACTGTCTTGCCAGAGGGGTGCTTTACACTACAGTTATAAAACTGCAACATTAACACCCCTCCTTCAGAGTGTAGACACTGTACTTCTCATCTCCAGGACTCAAGTCCGGCCTGCCAGTTTCCCTGAATCTCTTCATAAATGTTACTTTGCTCACACTCCAACAGCATGTCAAGTATTAAAAACCGTTTGTCTCCATTCACTTCTATCAAATAAGCTCATGCACGCTTGCTGGAAATCCAAGCCCCTCGCACACAAAACTTCCTTTACTCCCTCCCTGCAATCCTTCCTAGGCCAATCCCTACCCTGCCTTCCCTCCACTACAGATTTATACACTCTTGAAGTCATTCTGTTTTGTTCCGATCGATACCATGCCTAACCCTTCTAGGGTAGGGTAGGTGCCTGAGCCCGAGCCTTTAGCTCATAAGACTGTCATTCCCATTTGCCCCCTTGGGGCGGGGATGGCAGACCAGAGAGGCCTAGCTTGTGGCTAGGCCTGGGGACAGTTGGTCCCAAAGATGAGGAGGTACTTGTGCCTCCTCCCATGGGAGACTTAGGTCTCAGACACTCCCTAAAGAGGGAGTCAAGGCCGGGCCACCACTTGGAAAAGGCCCGGGCCGGGAGAATACCGGCTAATCTTTAATAATAATAATGTTTTGTTCCATTTTCTCTACACGTCCGAACCACTTCAACAACCCTTCCTCAGCCCTCTGGATAGAAGTTTTGGTAATCCCACACCTTCTCCTAATTTCCGAACAACAAATTCTCTGCATTATATTCACACCACACATTGCCCTCAGACATGACATCTCCACTGCCTCCAGCCTTCTCCTCGATGCAACATTCATCACCCATGCTTCACACCCATACAAGAGTGTTGGTACAACTACACTCTCATACATTCCCCTTTTTGCTTCCGCGGACAAAATTCTTTGTCTCCACAGACTCCTAAGTGCACCACTCACCCTTTTCCCCTCATCAATTCTGTGATTCACCTCATCCTTCATAGACCCATGTGCTGACACATCCACTCCTAAATATCTGAATACATTCACCTCCTCCATACTCTCTCCCTCCAATCTGATATCCAATCTTTTGTCACCTAGTCTTTTTGTTATCCTCATAACCTTACTATTTCCTATATTCACTTTTAATTTTCTTCTTTTACATATCCTACCAAATTCTTCCACCAACCTCTGCAACTTCTCTTCAGAATCTCCCAAGAGCACAGTGTCATCAGCAAAGAGCAACTGTGACAACTCCCACTTTGTGTTTGATTCTTTATCTTTTAACTCCACACCTCTTGCCAAGACCCTCGCATTCACTTCTCTTACAACCCCATCTATAAATATATTGAACAACCATGGTGACATCACACATCCTTGTCTAAGGCCTACTTTTACTTTATTATTATATTTTTAACACATCAGCTGTCTCCTACCAAAGCAGGGTGACTCAAAAATGAAGAAATGTAAAGTTTTTCTCTTTTTTTACATTTAGTTGATTTATACAGGAGGAGTTAATAGCCCCTTGCTCACAGACATAAGATTATTAAGCATATTTTTTAAGCAATAAGATTTTGTATATGTAAAGCACATTAATACGAAACTAATTCAAAGTTGCATTGACAATTTTAATTGTAATAATTATTTGGGTTAAAAACAATGTACATGTATTATTATTATTTTTTCAACAAAAGCTGCATCCCACCAAGGCTGGGTGACCCCCCTACCCCCCAAAAAAAAGTTTTTCTTTTTAAATTTAGTAATTTATACAGGAGAAGGGGTCACTAGCCCCTTGCTCCCATTATAAATATTAATATATACATGGGGAAATACTAACCCTGAAAGGGTTACATCTGGGGAATGGAAGTTTATCATGTATTTTATTGCATTTTTTAAGTAAATTTAAAGGGAAAGCAGATATAATAAGGATACAATAAAACTAATTTTGACTTATCTACAGATATTCTGTGAATTGTTGATAATGGAAAAGTCTTAACAATTGTTGTCTCTCTTCCATGCATTTATCCACAGCAGCATTCTCTCAAGATTGTTCTCCATGTCATCAGTAGTGTTGGATGGCAATTCATGTACTAGGTGGTCAGCGTAACTGTCCTTGGCTTCATCTCTTAAGACATTCATTATTTCACATTCTATGTTGTCTTCTAGTTTCTTTCCATGGTAACCCCTGAAAAATGTGCAGTTTGCAATGAGCATTATATTATTATTATTTCGGTTATCATTGTTATGACAGATCAAAAAGAATAAATGTAAGCAGTGTACCATGTGGACACACAGTAACTCATCTTTGAAAGATTATCCACTGATTTTTATTACTTTTGTTTATATTATATTAAGCCTTATGTGCAGGATGAGTTTCAGTTGTTGTAAGAAAGGAATTTGTTCAACATTTTGGTGCAGGCCTAAGAACTGACCATCATTCTTTCTATCCTAGTACTGTTTATCCTGATACAGTGAACCCTAGATTTTGTGGGCAAATGGGGAGAAGGCAGTGTCTGTTTAAGTCAATTGTCTGTTAAATCCAAATGATTTTTTTTCCATGAGTGCACCTTCAAATAACCTCACTATTAAATTAGTAAAGCCTCTGGTTAGCAAAACATCTTCAGAATCAAGATACCCAGGTGTTGCACATGTCTTATTCATCAGTCCAGGATATTACCTTGCAGTGTACCTCAATGTTTGTAAGTAAAGCTGAATGACAACAAAGACACATGTACCATAGTAGAACAAACATTTGTTAGGACATTTCACTCTAAGGAAAACTTTATCAAGTTTTCAATGTCTCCTCTGAATAAGAGATCCATGTTACTGTTGTGTCCAGACAAGATGGTTTGAAGTTGTAGTGCAGCTAAGAATGAAGATACAGACACATGTAACAAGACAAGTTAATATTGGGGCAATATATCACTTTAAGGAGAACTTTATTAAGCTGTCTTAGAGTAAAATGTTGTCCCAATAAGGGCATGTTTTGTTAAAAGTCTTTATCCTTATTACTTTTGGTAGTGAGTCTTTTAAGACCAACCTGTAGGCAGAGTTGATAAGGAAATATAATTTATAGTCTCATGTTGGTCTCTACTGTTAGGACAGGATCTGACAAAAGAAAATATAAGGCTTCTAAGCCCAGAGTGCTCAAGATGAAAAAAAATGTAGCCAATGCTATGAAATCTTTTTTTTTTTGCAGCCCAATAATTTGATTAGTGGCTATTACAGTATTTATTTTTAAGAAGAGAAGATTCTGTCAAGAATTTTATTATCAGTGCTTTTTTTTTTGTTGTGGAGGGGAAAGGGGGGAGGTGAAATCAGCATCTAATCTTAAGTAGTGTTAATTGATGTGAAGAATATATGAGAAAACCTAGGTAGTAGGTTGGTAAACAGCAACCGCCCAGGGAGGTACTACCGTCCTGCCAAGTGAGTGTACAACGAAAACCTGTAATTGTTTTACAGGATGGTAGGATTACTGGTGTCTTTTGTTTGTCTCATAAACATGCAAGATTTCAGGTATGTCTTGCTACTTCTACTTGCATTTAGGTCACACTACACATACATGTACAAGCATATATATACACACCCCTCTGGGTATTCTTCTATTTTCCTTCTAGTTGTTCTTCTTGTTTATTTCCTCTTATCTCCATGGGGAAGTGGAACAGAATTCTTCCTCCGTAAGCCATGCGTGTTGTAAGAGGCAACTGAAATGCCGGGAGCAAGGGGCTAGTAACCCCTTCTCCCGTATAAATTACTAAATTTAAAAGAGAAACTTTTGTTTTTCTTTTTGGGCCACCCTGCCTTGGTGGGATACGGCCAGTGTGTTGAAAGAAAGAATATATGAGAAAAATAGGGTTTGTGAGACACCTTCAAATTTGCCAAACAACTTTTATAAAAAAACCTACTTCATCTAAAATAATACAGTTTACTGCACCTTACCTTCTAATTTACATTGTTCATTAATATGGTAGTGTATGGAGAGAGATGATGTGGCCCTACTGGACTGAGGAGGATGGCTGTGGTTCAAGATAAGATATGATTTCGTTCAGATTTTTAACCCTGGAGGGTTAGCCACCCAGGATAACCCAAGAAAGACAGTGTGTCACCGAGGTCTGTCTGTCTTATTTCCATTGGGGTCCTCAATCTTGTCCCCAAGGATGCAACCCACACTAGTCGACTAACACCCCGGTACCTATTTGCTGCTAGGTGAACAGGACAACAGGTGTAAGGAAACGCGTAAAAATGTTTTCACCCAGCTGGGAATCGAACCTGAGCCGTCCGTGTGTGAAGCAAGAGTTTTGCCAGCCAGGCCATGGGGTTCCTGTGTTAATGTGGATGCAGAGTTGTACTGGTTATTGCTTACTGCATCTTCAAGAAAGAATCTGATAAGTTGCATCAGGCAGTAACTGATCTGCTAGACTGTGGTGCCTATGTTGCACTGCATACAGGAAGTAATACTAGTGCAAACTGACCAGGCAGTTAACCAGGAGGTCTGGTCCGATACTTGGTTGTGTGGGTGATGATCTCCAGAACCACTAAAAGGTATACAACAGATAGAAAGAGTGGCTAGAACTAATGTATGGAGTTATGTTAGATATTGGCTGTTTGGAGTGACATCTAAACTGTCACATCAGAGTGCCTCTGCAAAGAGAGTGAGTGTGTGTAAATATTGGTGAAAGTGTTGAATGATGGCAAAAGTGTTTCTTTCTTTTTTAAGATCATTTTTGACATGGGCTTGAGTGTCTGGGATTTTATTAACTAAGTCTACTGATGAGAAATAATTGAATTAACCCTTAAACTGTCCAAACATATTTACGTTCACATGCGTAGTGCTCCAAAAGTAGATCTACATTTCTTTTTACATATTTTCAAATATAACAAAAAAAAAAAAAAAACGTAGATCAAAATTTTTTTTACACGTTTTCAAATGTAAAAAAAAAAAAAAAAAAAGATCTACGTTTTTTACATACTTTCAAATGTTGAAAAAATGTAGATCTACGTTTGGACACTTGAAGGGTTAATTAACAGCATTAGTACCTGAGATAAGAGGTCATATTTCTTTGGTAAATATACATACTTTCATTGTGTTTTAGAGGATCCCAAGAATTACGAGAGATTTCGAAGTCTATTTTATGTCCTCTTTTGTTTTTATTCAAGAAATATTGTTTAGAGTTCTTAATTAGCTTATTCTTGTTCTTGTCTAGACCAGAGCTTTGGTGAGATGGGTAAGGAAGAAGGATGGGTAAGGATAGAAATATTGGAAAAGGGTGGGAGGGGGGAGAGAGGTAGGATATAAAAGGTAAGTGGCCCAACCACTTTGGTGTAATTCAAAAAGTGTACGTGAAATGATAAGATATTCTTTAAGAGGTATAAGACTAACCCATCAGAGTCACATAGATATAACAGATATATAAGTACATGACTCTGAATTGGTAGTAATTATACAAGTTGCAATTGTTTTTTTTTTTTTTTTTTTTTTTTTTTTTTGCGATTGCACAACAGATATTTATGCGACAATGAAGGCAATAATTTTCTGGCCAGTTTATAGAATTACGTGACAATGGCTTCTTACAGGTGGTGTCCAGCCATAGTAAATAGCATAATTTTTACATTAGATTGTTATATAAGATTTCTCCCTAATTGGGGGCGATGATGTTCTCAGTATACATAGAAGGGTTCTGGTGTTACCCAATGTTCTTCATCAGGGAGGTTGCTCAATATCATGGGTCGATGGTAATCATCTTTATGTATAAAACGACGGACCCTCTGTGGGAGAGTCATTCTTTGAGTCCTGTGAGGAGGAGTATTGATGATATAATCCGTGGTATTTACCACTTGTATAGGATGTTCTCTATCTGGCATGTATAGTTCTTGCATTGTATAGAGTTGTTTCTTTTTTAGTGTGTCAAGGCGTACATTTATGGCAGTAATATCTTGTTGTACGTGTAAATCTGCCATTTTAACTCTGTCTCTCCTCCTGGTATCGGTAATGAAGCGAAGAGCTCTATTCTGGACCCTTTGTAACCGTAGCATATTGGTCTTTGTTGTTAATGACATTGGGACACAAGGGTATTCGAGTATAGGTCGTATTAACATTTTATACAGATGTTTTTTGACATGTTGAGGGGCTTGATTGAATCGAAAGAGACTGCTTATTAGATATCAAAAAAATATTTTTGGGGGGAAGGGGGAGATCAGGTCTAACTATACAATCAATCATCTTACAATGTAACTTCACAATGTGTGAATTGTTTGCAACACAACTCAAAAAAGCACAATAAAAAAGTGGATAGCAGGCAAAAATATTGATATTATGCATCATAAAGTATCGAGGAATCTGCTATTACAAGAAAACTGGGTACTACACACCATGTTACATGGTTCCTTTCCCCACTGACACTCAACACCACTTACAGTGGCATTCTAGAAATATATTGTGCCTTCCTTACTGTGTTCATCAAGTTATTTTGAATATTTTTCATCAATATATCTGTCACCTACATATTACCATGACACCCAAAAGGAATGCTAGTGATGCTGGAGGTCCTTAGAAGAGATATGAATTTATGACTGCTGAAAAAATGGAAGTGTTGGATATTCTTAGAGGTGGTGTATACCTGTGATATACCTTTGATGAGTTTCAAGTCTTACTACTCTCAGAGCCTGGCCATGGGCCAGGCTCATGTGACAGAAACTACCATGAGTTTTGCATGAATGAATCAACCAACTGTACAATTAGTAATGATGAGAAAAAATAAGAGGTTGTACACTAAGAGATCACTACAGCTATATATGATGGAAAAGTTACTGAACATGTGGATGAAAGAAAAAATATAGTTTTCATCATACTATAAAAAGTGTGTCAAATGGAAGGAGAGCCTTCACAACAGTTTATTTTCAGTGCTGAATGGTTTGAGAGTTTTAAAATACTTTTTTGGTCAGCTCCATCAAGTATTAATGTAGAGTAAAACATACCAGACACACATCACAGAATATTTGAGCACTCCAGAGGTAACTTTACATCCATGTCATCACAAGCACCCCAGCCATCCACCTTGGTCTAGTATACTCAGACCAACCCTCTCCACATTCTTCCATTTCAAGAAAAAAAGCACTAACAGAATATAAGGGAAGTTATACCATAGTAATTTTAACCTAATGCAATAGAAAAAAAAATTTGTTGGCAAATTTGGAGGTGTCTGGAACATAATTCTACTTTTTTCCATATGCCCTTCACTTCATTACGGTATGAGCTGATTATTGCACACATGACTTGCACTTTGTTAGAGTATTTACTGTAATTTTTTTCATGGTCATATTTTTCATCAATGGATCTAAGCAACTTACTGGTTAACCTGGCTTGATATGTTTTGGTTTTTAAATGGCAGTGTATAAACCATACCACGGGCAGGGATAGAACCCACGATCAGATGGTTTGTTTGCAATCGTGTCATTACGATTTCGTGAGGCAGTGTATACTGTAGAGACTCTTTAATTTTATCTGGTAAGATGTTCAAACCTGCACTAATGTTGTAGTTTTGGTTAGTTCTCTAATGCAGTTAATATCTTTCAATAAGGAAATAAAGTTACTGATGCTTTGCTGTGGAATCCTGCTATTTTTTGCCTTCAATATTTTTGTTGTTGTTGATGTCTGTGATTAGTGGAGAAGTGGTCTGTTACATTGTAACTATGCCAGTCTTTCGTGGGTTTATAGCTGGTCTAATGAAGAAATAGATTTCTCCTTTCAACAAACTGGCCGTATCCCACTGAAGCTAAAGAAATAGATATCTCAGTGATTCTGACTGGTATGGTAGATGAGGATAACAAAAGGCAGGAGAACATTGTGTTGAATAATACAAGAGGGCAGTGCTTTCAATGGCACTGATCAGTGGGGTTTGTGTGTTGTTATTTACTTCTTCTGGCAGATCACTGACAAATTTAAAACTTCTTATATCATCCTGCGTAAAACCTGTTACCTTACAATTACACAATACATGGTTCTTTAAAACATACTCTCGGATGAGCCTGTTGTATTTTGAAGCAGCCACTAGTGAAAGTGTTATTAAAAAAAAGCTTCACAGAAACATCTCTGAAAAATATACATTTTAATAATTAGCTGTAAAATGTACAGGAGTTTTACATAGGTACAGAACCAGTGTTAGGAAAAATACAGGAAGTACATACAGTACAGTGGAACTTCAAAAATCGAACTGATCCCAACACAACCAATTATGTAAGTGTATTTTCGTAAGTGCTTTTATGAGTGTATTTTTGAGGGTCTGAAATGGACTAATCTAATTTACATTATTCCTGATGGGAATAAATTCATTCAGTAAAGGCACTCGAACAGCCTTCTGGACTGAAGAAAGTTCGATATTTGAGGTTCCACTGTACATAGCAATTAAATATACTGAAATATGATCTACCACCCTATTTCAGTACATACTGATGGTGATGTGATACAAATTTAAATCTATAATATACTTAAAACTGTAAATTTATACTAATTATCAGTGGATCAATCCAACCCATATTAAGTAAACCTGTAAAGATATCTGTTGTTTTACGGCTCCATTTCTATCAGTTATTCACGATGTGTGGTATGAGTTTGCTCTTGTGCAATCATTCAAGACCAGGACCACTGATTTCTTAACCTTAACTCTTTAAACACTAAACTGGTTTATACTGACATTCATAAGAAAGGAATGTGAAAGAAAGTAACCTAATGAGTATATTTTCAACAAAATTCTATGACATGCATTGGCACAAAGTTGGGACTAGGACAAAAACAGGCTGAGCGGTTGGTGAAGATTAGACACATGCGCAACATCTGGGTATCTTTATTGTAGACGATTTGCCAACCAGGGGCTTTATCAATACAAAAACATTATGTAAAGAATTATATACAAAAGATGAGGTAATCAGTCTCTCAGCCTTGAAGTTGGCGAAGAGCACTGTAGTCTTGAAGGAAGTGAGGCACAGTTATGGAGCGTGGCACTTATATACTGGTTGGCAAAACGTCTATAATAAAGATACCCAGGTGTTGCACGTGTGTCTAATTTTCATCTTGTCAGTATTGTATACCATTCAAGTATTGAGTGATTGTTGGTGAAGGGAAGCGGGAGAGCAAAATAGAAGAGAATAATGATTAATTGTTGAATAAATTTTTGGTATGTGGTCATTTAGTGCCTATCTGCTATATCATAGATTTTGGTAAAAATAAATCAACATGAAAATTTTTTCCCTTGATTCTATCTCTGTTAATAGTATACAGAGTTAGATTAAATTTTGGGCTGATTTTTTTCTCAGTTCATTTTGGACCAAATGGATTTCTTTTTATATGGCCATTTGGTGCACATATGGAAACTTATTTTTTAATATGTAGGCCATTTCTCACCGAGGCAGGGTGGCCCAAAAAGAAAACAAACCCAAAAAGAAAGAAAAAACTTTCATCATCATTCAACACTTTCACCATCACTCATACATAATCACTGTCTTTTTTAATGGTAAATATTAGTCAAGAAATGTAGAATTTGCAAAGTCTCAGAAAGCTTCCCTAAGATTGACAGTTTATGTTGAAATTTCTTTGTGTACCATAGGCTGGGATTACATGTATCACATAAAGCAAGGGACACCTGTACATACTGTATAATCTCATTCAAATAAACAATTAAAATGTATAAAACGAATTTCCACTATACCTGGCAGCAAGTCTGTCATATAGCAGTGTGTTATCAGTCCTCAGCACAAATATGATGTCAAAAAATCTTTCTGGGAAGAAATCACAGCCGTGATAATCAACTATTTTGCCGCCTTCCTCAATCATATCCTCCAATTCATCTAACACCTAAAGAAAAAGTAAATATTTATCTTTTCTGCTATTATAGCAACAGTTACTGTAATATAAGAATACTTAACATATAAATTAATTACACAAATAATATAATTTAATTAAAAACAAAATTTTTAAAACATTGCATATTAACACAGAAATATATTCTACAAACTTTCTATAGGCAGCTGATATACTGATCATCACATGTAACAAAATGTACAAATCACACATGTTTAACACTGTCATTCCATATAAAAATTCAACCATAAACACAAAAGTTATAAACTCAACAAACCATTAATTCAGTGCTGTATTTACTAGTTAAATATTATTACTGTATTACTTAAATTCTTATATGTGGTCATCATCATTTAACATGCATGTGGAAGTTAGCAATAATGTATCACCTGATGATTCTTGAAAAAAAAAAAATAGCTACTATGATAGTAGTCACAGTGAAGGTTTGTCAAGAATTATTACTATTACTCATTATAATCATGGGGAAGCAATATACCTGTTGTGCCGAATAGGTAAAACTTGCAACTTTTATACTCGCCTATTTGTGGTTGCAGGGGTCAAGTCACAGATCCTGACCCTGCCTCTTCACTGACTGTTACTAGGTCCTCTCTCTACCCGCACCATGAGCTTTATCAAACCTCGTCTTAAAACTATGCATGGTTCCTGCCTCCACTACATCACTTTCTAAGCTATTCCACTTCCTGACAACTCTATGACTGAAGAAATACTTTCTAACATCCCTTTGACTCATCGGAGTCTTCAACTTACAATTGTGACCCATTGTTTCTGTGTCCAATTTCTGGAACATCCTGTCTTTGTCCACCTTGTCAATTCCTCATAGTATTTTATATGTCGTTATCATGTCTTCTCTAACCCTCCTGTCCTCCAGTGTCGTCAGGCCAATTTCCCTTAGCCTTTCGTCATAGGACAATAACCTTAGCTCTGGAACTAGTCTTGCTACAAACCTTTGTTTTTTTTTAACAAGTCGGTTGTCTCCCACCGACGCAGGGTGACCCAAAAAGAAAGAAAATCCCCAAAAAGAAAAATACTTTCATCATTCATTCAGCACTTTCACCTCACTCACACATAATCACTGTTTTTGCAGAGGTGCCCAGAATACAACAGTTTAGAAGCATATACATATAAGATACACAACATATCCCTCCAAACTGCCAATATCCCGAACCCCTCCTTTAGAGTGCAGGCATTGTACTTCCCATTTCCATGACTCAAGTTCGGCTATATAAAACTAACCGGTTTCCCTGAATCTCTTCACTAAATATTACCCTGCTCACACTCCAACAGCTCGTCAGGTCCCAAATACCATTTGTCTCCTTTCACTCCTATCGAACACGCTCACGCACGCCTGCTGTAAGTCCAAGCCCCTCACCCACAAAACCTCCCTTATCCCTTACCCCTTCCTTCCAACCTTTTCGAGGATGACCCCTACCCCGCTTTCCTTCCCCTACAGATTTATATCCTCTCCATGTCATTCTACTTTGATCCATTCTCTCTAAATGACCAAACCACCTCAATAACCCCTCTTCAGCCCTCTGACTTATACTTTTAGTAACTCCACACCTTCTCCTAATTTTCACACTTCGAATTTTCTGCATAATATTTACACCACACATTGCCCTTAGACAGGACATCTCCACTGCCTCCAACCACCTCCTCGCTGTTGCATTTACAACCCAAGCTTCACATCCATATAAGAGTGTTGGTACTACTATACTTTCATACATTCCCTTCTTTGCCTCCATAGATAAGGTTTTTTGTCTCCACATATACCTCAACGCACCACTCGCCTTTTTTCCCTCATCAATTCTATGATTAACCTCATGCTTCATAAATCCATCCGCCGACACGTCAACTTTGTACTTTCTCTAATTTCTTGACAGGCTTAACCAGGTATGGATTCCAAACTGGTGATGCATACTCCAATATGGGCCTGACGCACATGGTGTATAGAGTCTTGAACAATTCCTTACTGAGGTAATGAAATGCTATTCTTAGGTTTGGCAAATGTCCATATGCTGCAGCAGTTATCTGGTTCATGTGTGCCTCAGGAGATGTGATCAGTATTATACTCACCCCAAGATCTTTTTCCTTGAGTGAGGTTTGAAGTCTTTGTCTGCAGTCTTCTTAGACCTTCCTTAATCTTCATGACTTTGTATTTGGCAGGATTAAATTGAAGGAGCCAGTTGCTAGACCAGGCTTGTAGAATGTCCAGGTCTCTTTGTAGTCCTGCCTGATCCTCATCCAAATTAATTCTCCTCATTAACTTCATATCAGCTGCAAACAGGGACACTTCTGAGTCTATCCCTTCCATTATGTCATTCATATGTACCAAAAACAGCACAGGTCCAAGGACTGACCCCTGTGGAACCCCACTCATCACAGGTGCCCACTCTGACACCTCGTCACATACTATGACTCGTTGCCTCCCTGTCAAATATTCTCTGATCCATTTCAGTGCTTTCTGTGTTGTATGTGCCTGATCCTCTAGCTTTTGCAATAACCTCTTGTGAGGAACTATGTTGAGGGTTTCTTGCAGTCCAAGAAAATGCAGTCTATCCACTCCTCTCTCTTGTGTCTTACTTCTGTTACCTTGTCATAAAACTCCAGCAGATTTGTGACACAGGATTTTCCTTCCCTGAAACTGTGCTGGTTGTCGTTTATAAGTTTTTATCTTTCCTGGTGCTCCCCCACTCTCCTGATCTCCACGCCTTTGCATACTATACATGTCAGTGACACAGGTCTGTAGTGTAATGCCTCGTGTCTGTCTCCTTTCTTAAAAATTGGGACTACATTTGCCATCTTCCATACCTCAGGTAGTTGCCCAGTTTCAATGGATGTGTTGGAGATTTTTGTTAGTAGCACACACAACATCTTTGCTCCTTCTCTAAGAACCCAAGGAGAGATGTTGTCCGGTCCCACAGCCTTTGAGGTATCAAGTTCACATAGCAGCTTCTTCACCTCCTCTTCGGTTGTGTGTATTTCGTCCAGTATTTGTTGGTGTATCCCTTGTTGGCATACATACCTCCCTATTCTGACTTCCTGGAGTCCTTTCTGTCTCCACTGTAAATAATTTTATATCTCATGTTGAGCTCCTAACATACTTCTTGGTCATTTCTTGCGAACTCTCCACCTTCCTTCCTCAGTCAGATTACCTGCTTGACTGTTTTCCTCTTAATGTGGCTATACTACAGCTTCGGGTGAGGCTTGACTTTCGATGCTATATCATTTTCGTAATGTCGCTGAGCCTCCCTTCTTACCTGTCCATATTCGTTTCTGGCTCTTCGGCTAATCTCTTTATTTTCCTGGGTCCTCTGTCTTCTCTATTTTTTCCATTCTCTAGTGCACTTAGTTGTTGCCTCCCTACACTTTTGGGTGAACCAAGGACTTGTTCTGGTCCTCCCATTATTTCTGTTTCCCTTGGGAACAAACCTCTCCTCTGCCTCCCTGCATTTTGTTGTCACATTGTTCATCATTTCTTTTACTGGTTTTCCTGCCAATTCCCTTTCCCACTGAACATCTTGCAGGAAGTTCCTCATGCCTGTGTAGTCCTCCCTTTTGTAGTTTGGCTTCTGTCCTATTCCTGCTACCCTCTCCACTTGTAGCACAACTATGTATTCAAAGAACAGAACCACATGATCACTAGCTCCAAGGGGCCTTTCATACGTGATATCCTCGATGTATGAACTACTCAAGGTGAATACTAGGTCCAGTCTTGCTGGATCATCCTCACCTCTCTCTCTGGTAGTGTTGCCAACATGTTGATGCATGAGGTTTTCCAGTACCACATCCATCATCTTGGCTCTCCATGCTTTGGGACCCCCAAGGGGCTCCAGGTTTTCCCAGTCAATCTCCTTGTGATTGAAATCACCCATAACTAGTAACTTTGCTCTACCCATGTGAGCTCTTCTGGCCACCTCAGCTAGTGTCTACCATTGCTCTGTTGCTCTCTTTGTATTCTTCTCTTGGCCTCCTGCAGTTCTGTGGTGGGTTGTACATCACTGCAATTACCACTTTATGGCCCCCAGACTGGATTGTTCCTACTCTGTAGTCCCTTTTGCCCATTCTGTCCATTCCTTTCATTTCCTCAAATCCCCACCAGTTTTTAATGAGCAGTGCAACTCCTCCTCCCCCTCTGCTCTCTCTATCTTTCCTCAGGATTTGATATCTGGATGGAAGGATTGCATAAGTTACCATCCTAGTGAATTTCATTTCTGCGAGTGCTATTATGTCTGGGGATGTCTCCTTGATTCTTTCATGTCACCCATCACATTTATTTGTTATTCCATCTGCATTTCAATACCAAACCTTTAAATTCTTTTCTAAAACTGTGGTCTCGGGGGTACAATGGGGTTGGGGAAGCGGGAGACCTGATGAGGAACTATGGGTGGTTGCTGTGAAGGTGGAGTTTGTAATGAGGTGGATAGGGGCATTGGGTATGGCATGTGTGTTTTGGATTAGAATGCTTGGTTGCAGTGGGATTGTCCTGGTTAGGGGGCTTCTGTAGGTGGTTGTGAAGGTTACATTTGATCTTCCTCCTGAGTCTGGGTTCTTCTGTCCATCTCCATCTTTGCCTCTCTTTCCTCCTTTCATCTTTGTACCCTCCCTTTCAGATTCTGCCTTTCTTCTCGTGTTCTGTCGTAGTTGAGATACAACCTCTGGTATGTGGAAATGTCCCTTAGTTGCACTTTCTTCTGCAGGATCCTGTTTCAAGCCGATTCTGCCTTGAAAATCACTGACTGGCTGGATTATTCCTCTGGTAAACCCCCCCCATTCTCAGAAAATTTCCAGCTGGGTCATGTGGTCTTCTCCTATTGCTTTCATGATGCTTTCAATCGCTTTTTTCTCCCCTTGTCTTCTTGCTTCGTAAGTTTCCCCTTCAACTTCCTGGGGCCCATAAACAAAGATTGATCTCTCCCTTTCATTCTCCCACTGCACATCCCTATGTATCCCCTGGTTCAATTTAGTTACCTCCA